CCGGAACCTATATAGAAAGTATAACATGAAACATACTGCAGCCATGACAGCCAAAGACTTTCCAGGAACTGAGCAGAAAGCATAACTCAGCTCTGTCAGGTCAGCGCGTTGATCTTCTCTCGGGTACATATTGGTTTCAGTCTGATGCAGATCGAAACATAAATCTGCCCAGCTGAAGGTCATATTGACAAGTCGTCAAACACATGAAACTGCCCATAACGGTGACCCATTAAGGCCGTGACGCACTGCAGGCGGAGCGGCGGGCGCGCTGCCTTTGCGAGCGGTGTGTCATGTCATTTTCTGCTCGGCACCTCAGCTGGCGAGAGCTCGCGGAGCTGAGCGTGCCGAGATGAGCAATTTCAACTTCAGCCAATCACCTCGCGCGTATAAACCGGCGCGATGCGACAGCTGGCAGGTTGTTACGGACGAGCCGAATGGCTGAAGGTGCAGTCAATCATCTGACTGCACTCAGCTCACACACTGCACGTAAAGCTCCGTGCCGGATAGCTTTGCTTCGCGTGCAGTGTGTCACGGCCTTAAGGGTATATGAACGGTGCCTATAGAGTAGGGCAGATGACAGCTGGTCACCTACGGGAGAATGGTCTTCTCCGGGCAAACCAGAAATCTACCCTTTTAGTTGGGCGCTGCAAGGGATGAGTGCTCACTTATGTCTAGGGGCTGGAGTAATCCCCACTTCCCTGGAGGTCAGGACTCACCCCTCACCTCCTCTGCTGGTGGAATACCCCTCGGCCTTTAATGCAGGTCTATGGAACCTACATTAGATGTGATGATGTCTTAGACCAATGCATCCTGGGGGGAGAAGAGTCTGCGGGGACCGGTCTAGCATCCTGGAGGGAGCCAGCAGGAGCGGGGATCGCGTTTACTCCTAGACAAAACAAACACTAACTCTTGCAGTGCGGGTCCAGCTACACTGCAAGGGTTACTTTTCTGTTTGCAGAGGTGGGCTTTAAATTGGATCATGTCTCTGGTTACACCCATATTTAGGGGGTAACATGAGACATGGTTGGATTTCCCGACCCCCCACTGTTAACCACCCCCTTTACCTGAATTGTGGGGTGCTTCTACCTATAGAGATTTGCTGACCTTTGGATTTAGTGCAAGCTTCACCCACACAGCCGCCTCATCATCATCTATTCACAGGGATCTCTGAATGGGAAGACTACAAGTCCCATCGGTCACTGCAACAAATACTTGCAGACCTCAATAGTGACCGTAGACAGGTCCTCTTAATACAGACCGATAACCCAACTGCCACAGGTCACAATGTTACCAATTAGCCCAAGTCAATAGTTATCTACCCTCAAACTAGACCGACGTCTGGAATAAAGTCCCCGCCATCAATGTGTAACCAGCTGTAAAACAAAAACTGCCAGAGAGACCGTCGCTGCGTCATAAACGTAGAACGCAAAACTTTTCAACAACGCAAAGCTCGTCCCTTCTGTGTGTGACATTCATAACCTCCGAGGGCGCAGTGACCTTCCCTGGCAGGATTGCTGCAATCAGCCGGCTTCCCCGGTCACATCTTTTATTATGATCTCTGGGACGGGACGAGGGCAGTTATTATTGGTTACACATTGATCAGCCCGGGGAATGACGGCGACTGTCAGAGAGTGTTTGTGTTCTGGTGTCGCTTACATTTCTTGGTGGATTCCAGTTCACTCCTCAACTTCTTCACTTCTCCCTTCAGCGTCTTGTTTTCCTCCTCGGCGTTGCTCTCCGACAGGTCGCTGACCTCAATCCCAGCGGCCTTTAGTTGCTGGACATAAAATGTAAAGGCCATTGATTAAAAAGAATACACACGTATAATATATGTGTTGTGCCCAGATATTTATACTTATCTGCCCGATTCCTTCATCACGAAGTAATAAAACAACGTGAAGAACTTTTTAGTACAAGATTTCTAATACACTGAACACAAGGTGACAATTTTAGGTGTCCGATACCTTCTTCAGCTGGTCATTCTCATCCATGTATTTCTTGGCGGCATCGCTGGCACTCTCAGCCTGCTTCTTGAAGGCCTCATTGGATGCAATGATGGTGGCTTGCTTGGATATCAGGGTGACGAGACGTCTCAGCAGGCTGCAAAAGGAATTTAAAGAGGGATATACATTAACTTCAGCTATTCTATAGGGCTGCTGCCTCCCATATCCCCCCCAGCTGTGATGTCTCATCTCCCCTGGTGGTGAGGTCTGGTATTGCAGATAGTCCATTCAGTTATCACAGTACTTAGAATTCCATTACAGCTGAAAGAACAAGCTGTGGTCTCCTGTTCTAGATGGCTATGGAGAGACCTCTGTGAGCTCGGATACAATACTATGAAGATGCAAATTGGTTTCCCTTTAACCCCTTAGTGACCAGTGACATCCATAGTACGTCACAGGCACCGGGCCCATTTAAACAGACTCCCGCTCTGACTGTCGGCTTTACAATGGAAGCGATCAGGTGACTCAGATGGCGCCAAATTGCTTCTCCGGGCCGGTAAATGTGCCGACCCCCCACCGTGTTTCCCGGGCTCCGCTGCCACTCCTACAGGCCCAGGACCAGCTTCTTGGGTGTCAATGGGAAGCTGTGAAGGAGAGCGGCGAACTTCCGTTCACCGATCTCCTCCCCATACTATGGGACCGGGAGCGACACGGATTACATCACTTCCTGTCCCATAGCGGCCATTGCTCGGCTCCTGAAGCCCAGCTATAAGCTATTGAAGTGTGATCTGCACCCCAATAGCTTATTTCAAGTGTAAAGGTGACACTGGGGGGGGGTCTTTTTGGTTTTTAAAGAGTACCTGTCACTGCCAATATGCTGTCACATGGGGGGGGCTCGTCACTTCCGGTCCCATAGTGGTCATAGTTTGGCTCCTGAAGCCCATCAATACGCTACTGAAGTGTGATCTGCACTTCAATAGCTTAGAGTGTAAAGGTGACACTAGGGGTCTTTTGAACACTCAGCAAAACCTTAAAAAGAGTACCTGTCACTGCCAATCTATCACATAGGGGGCTTGTAAGCCCCCCTATGTGATGGCAATTAAAGTAAAAATAAAAATACGTTTTTAATTATATAAAATTTAAAAAAGATAAAAAAAAAGTGTCAAAATAATAAGAATAAAAAAATGTTTTAAGTGCCCCGCCTCTGTGAGCATGCGCGCCACAACGCAAACACGCATCAGGTGTGCCTACGTATGAAAACGACGATCGCAAAACACATGTTGGGTATCGCCGCGCACGCCGGAGTGAGAGCAATCACTCCAGTGACAATATTTATGCGCATCTCTAAATTGATGACATGTGGGGGCTTTTAAAGCGTTGTCTATGGACTTTTTGGGGTACCGAATGTTGTCACCGTTTCACGGACGCACACAATTTGGTACCTGGGCATGTCGGGTATCTATTTACTCGTTGTAATCTCATATTTTATATTAAAAAATGGGTATTTTGTGTTTTGGGGATCTATCTTTAACTTGGAGAACTATGAGGAGAGTGCTTTTCACTCATACCAATGAGACTGTCACAGGTCGGCTCAGTAGATCGGGGGGTGAGAGAACACATACCGGCATTCGCTCACCTCTCGATCCTGTCACAGCTCTCTGCCGTGACAGGGGGAGGGGCTGGATTCCCCTCTCCCCGCTCCGATCTGCCAGCGCTGACTGGCGGAACGGACGGGGGAGGGGGCGGGTACAGCTGGCTCTGTCTCTAGATAGGCAGAGCCAGCTGTCACTCACGCAGCTGGGCGGATCCCGGCACAATTGTCGGGATCCGCTTCAGCTGCGGCGTCTCAGTATACCGCGAGCTGTAGCTCCCTATATACTGAGCCTAGGGTGACGGGAGGACGCTAGTTTGTGTCCCCCCGTTACCCTAAGGAGAACTATGGGGAAAAGCCCTGACCCCGTAGTTCTCCTTTAAGTGCATTTGTCACGATGCTTTTGGGTTTGATAATAAGTTGTGCTAATATCGTGCAACATAAAAATTTGCATTTGCCGCCATTTTATTCTACAGGGTCTGGACTTCTCAGAAAATATATCATGTTTGGGGGGGTTTTAAGTAATTTTCCGGCCTAAAATGAAGTTTATAATATGGGTGCAAAAAAATGGAAAGAAATAAATAAAAAGGCCTCGGTCATGAAGGGGTTAAAGTGAGTCCACTCCTTAACCTGTCAAAGAATAAAATACTGAGCGGCAAAACTAGTTTAAGGGCAGGTTCACACCATTTTCAGGACCAGATATGATCCGGAAAATGGTGTGAACCCGCCCGCAGCTCTAGTGCATTCCAGACCAGACAAAAAGACCGGCGGTATCTTTCTGGTCTGGTACGGACTGCACTGGTGTGAACAAAGGCCAGAAATAGCATAGGGATACAATAGGATGCATTTTGGGTCCGGAAACCATCTGGTCTGGTGATGATCTGGATGTGGTGTGAATGGGCCCTTAAAGGAGAACTATGAGGGGGGCTTTTCACTCACCTCATAGTTCTAGCCGACCTGTGACAATGAGACTGTCACAGGTCGGCTCAGTAGATCGGGAGATGAGGGAACACATACCGGCGCTCGCTCACCTCTCGATCCTGTCACGGCTCTCTGCCGTGACAGGGGGAGGGACTGGATTCCCCCCTCCCCGCTCCGATCCGCCAGCGCTGACTGTCGGAATGGACGGGGGAGGGGGCGGGTAAAGTCTCTAGATAGGCAGAGCCAGCTGTCACTCACACAGCTAGGCGGATCCAGACATAATTGTCGGGATCCGTTTCAGCAGCAGCTCGTGGTATACTGCGGCGTTTCAGTATACAGGGAGCTACAGCTCGCGGTATACTGAGCCTAGGGTGATGGGAGGACGCTAGTTAGTGTCCTCCTGTGACCCTAAAGAGAACTATGGGGAAAAGCCTTTTCCCCATAGTTCTCTTTAGGGTCACAGGAGGACACTAACTAGCGTCCTCCCGTCACCCTAAGCTCAGTATATAGGGAGCTACAGCTCGCGGTATACTGAGACGCCGCAGCCGGAGCGGATCCCGACATCACTGTCGAGATCCACCCAGCTGCGTGATTGACAGCTGGCTCTGCCTATCTAGAGGCAAAGCCCCCTCCCTCGTCCGTTCCTCAAGTCAGCGGTGGAGGATCGGACAGGGGAGGGGGGGAATCCCTGCAGGGAGCTGCGAGACAGTCAGGGAGAAGATCGAGAAGTGAGCGACCGTATGTGTTCCCTCACTTCCCGATCTATAGAGTCGACCTGTGACAGTCTCATTGTCACACGGTCGCCTCGAACTATGAGTGATAATCGCCCCCCTCATAGTTCTCCTTTAAGAGGCGCGCACGCACACACGAGGCTGTTTCGTCTACCAAATCTAACAGCCAGAATCTCACGGTTCTCGTCTTTGGCCAACAGTTTTAAAAAGTTGAAAATGGAGGACGGGTTTGCTTCAAAAGTTAAACGCACTTCCCTGATTTCTAATGTAGATTAAATTCACGTTACCAATGATAATTTACAGGGGAAGGAGTGAGAAAGCGATGCCTTGTACCCCACGGGAGGCGAATAAACACTGCGGTGTAATCCTACGAGCGACGACGGGGAACAGAAGGACTTCTGCACAGTGTCATGGGACGAGTATAGCCAAGAAGGTCACTAGTGCCATCTACTGACAGATTGCCAACACTGAAGGTCCAGTGTACCAGAAAAGGTTTTGTCATCATAGACAACAACCAATGTAATAGACCCACGGGAACTTTCGGGAAGACAGAAGAGGAAATCTGATTGTAGAGAGGTAGACTCTGAAACATCCAAAAGAAAATGGCTCTTTACTGTCTGGATTTGGCATTTGCTGTTTGAGTAGAACATAGCGAGGGAGGAACAATGTCCTGGTTAAGGTGGGAGGAGGAAACCACCTACCCTGTTCCCACCGAAAATAAGACCTAGTACTATTTTTGGGAATTGCTCAAATATAAAGACCCTCCCCGAAAATAAGACCTGGTTGTGACCATTCCAAGGGCAGGTGGTGGCATAAGGGGGGACTTGAAGAGCCGCGGGAGAGAATCAGCGGTGCCAAGGAAGCCGGCGCTAGAGGAAGCGAGGCGGCACCGGAGGGAGCAGAGCCGCATAAGCCGATGCCTCCTCTATAGCCCCGCCTCCTGTCACAGGCGGAGTCATACCAAATGCACTCCGCCTGCGAGGAATCGATAGTGAAAGGGCGCTTCCCTCATTTTGGCCAGCGATTGGTTACTAAATTGCTCTTGGAAAGCTACGGCACCCCCTGATTGCCCTGATCACCATATTTTTGTACATTAATAAGTGCGGATTGTTGTACATTAAAAAGGAGAACTATGGGGTCAGGTCTTTTCCCCATAGTTCTCCTCAGGGTAACGGGGTCACACAAAACTAGCGTCCTCCCGTCACCCTAAGCTCAGTATATAGGGAGCTACAGCTCGCGGTATACTGAGACGCCGCAGCCGGAGCGGATCTCGACATCGATGTCGAGATCCGCCCAGCTGCGTGAGTGACAGCTGGCTCTGCCTATCTAGAGGCAGCTGTACCCGCCCCCTCCCCGTCCGTTCTGCCAGTCAGCGCTGGAGGATCGGAGCGGGGAGAGGGGAATCCAGCCCCTCCCCTGTCATGGACGAGAGAGCCGTGACAGGATCGAGAGGTGAGCGAGCGCCGGTATGTGTTCTCTCACCTCCCGATCTCCTGAGCCGACCTGTGACAGTCTCATTGTCACAGGTCGGCTAGAACTATGAGGTGAGTGAAAAGCACCCCCCTCCCCCCCTCATAGTTCTCCTTTAACAAAAAATATGACCTACCCTGAAAATAAGACCTCGTGTGTTTTTTGAGCCCAAAAAAATAAAAGACAATGTCCTATTTTCGGGGGAAACGCGGTAGGAGGAAAGGAGGCGCTAGGCCTCAAAACAACACCAAAAAAGTCTCTCTACAGGACAAAGACAACAACTTAGAGAGCCTCCATGCAGACGTAATAGTGACGAGGAAGACAACCTTGAGAGTGAGATCAACTAAGGGAATATCCCTGGGGGGCTCAAACGGCGGCTTCTGGAGAGCCGTAAGAACCAGATTAAGGTCCCACGGTGTGACGGGAGAGCAGACAGGGATAACA